GAGAGAACGACCGCTGGTCAGCTGGAGGGGAAGAGAGGAGGGGAAGAGAGAACGACCGCTGGTCAGCTGGAGGGGAAGAGAGAACGACCGCTGGTCAGCTGGAGGGGAAGAGAGAACGACGCGGGTCAGCTGGAGGGGAAGAGAGAACGACCGCTGGTCAGCTGGAGGGGAAGAGAGAACGACGCGGGTCAGCTGGAGGGGAAGAGAGAACGATGGCTGGTGCAGACGAGTGTGCGGCGACGGCAGCAACGCTGGGAAGACGTGGTGGCTGTGCCCACACGGCCGGGTGCGGTCAGGGCAGCGGAGACCGCAGGCCCTGCTGGGTGACAACAGAGCTGCCCGCTTGATGCCCAACAAGCCGAGTGCCTTCGCGGCATTGGGAGGAGGCAGTGGCCGTGCTTGCCGAGAGGAGTGTGCCTTCACGGGAGAGCTGGAGGCGGGGAGAGGCTCCCAATACGAGCCAACGCCGTCTTTCTGACAGGGGCCTAAACCAGTGTAGCGAATGCTGTCTTCGTACAGCCGGAAACAGCCTTTTCCTCACGGCCCCTTACATTGGGGGCCAGGGGTCCCCGAGACGGATCAAGTGGAGGATTTCCCAGCCTGCTGACCCCCTGTGGGCCATCTAGGGGCCCGCCTGCTGTGTCTATGGTGACCTCTGTGACTGGTGGCTCTCAGGCAGGATCGGAGGTGGACAGGGAGGCAGATGGGGAGGGAGAGGGCACACGGGCCATCATGCTTGGTCAAGTGGAAGGTCAATGAAGAAGGCCCGACCAGATGGATGACATGGTGGCTGCAATGAAGCTGGCTGGGGACTGGGCCTGTCCCTGTGTCGTACACCAAGTCGCTGCACCCAACGGGGCCCCGCAGCAGCAGCAGGGTTCGGCGGTCGCCACGCCGCTGACTGGAGCCATTAACGTGTCCTCCTCTCAGCCAGGCTGTCACACGCAGGACTGACACACTCCCGTGCGCGTGTATTGGGGGGACAGGGATGACGACACTGCTGGCGCTGGGGCACACTGATCACATGCACAGCAGCGTCGTGACAGGCCGAGCCTCTGCCCGGTGGCCCCTGCCCACAGCAGCTACTCCTTACCAGGGAGTCTGTGGGGCGTTTACGGAAACGTCTGGCTTCCAGTGGTGAGCGGGTGCCGATTCACAGAGCGGGGGCGCTGTCCATGGCACTGCTGAGTTGGTCAATTGGACGGGGCACCTTTCTCCACACAGTTGCTGAGGGCTCTGCCCACTGACCTTGCGGGTAGCAGCCTGACGCCGAGCCACCAGGGCTCCGATAGGGATGTCTAGTGGGGTCTGGCTCCAGTCAGGGGCACCGCGCTGTGACAACATCAGTCAGAAGCAACTGCCCGGCACTTGCTCCAGGAGCAAGGCATCAGCGGGCGGGTTTCATGAGGGGCACCTGCCGGGCAGCCGGCATTGTGCTGTCCAACACAGTGGCCATCTTTGCACACGGCCTTCTCCCCGTGTCTGTCTCATCTCCCCGTGAGAGCGGCCCGGTCACAGGGTGCAGGCCCCACCCCAGAGAGCACGACCTCACCTTCACGGGTCACAGCTCCAAGACCAAGTCCACACAAGGCCACATTCGCAGGTTCCGGGTGGACAGGATTTGGGGAAAGACAACAGGAGGGAAGGGTACCCCCTTTCTCTGCCGAGTCCCCATGTCCTGCACTGCCTCTGTGCTGACCTTCCATCTAGCCCGTACGAGAGCTCACAGCCTCTGCCAGGAAGTCACCCAGCTCGGCTGGATGGTGGTGCACCCCGAGCTCTGGGCCACCCCTGGCCCGGGCCCGCTGTGGGGCAGTGCATGTCTGTGCTGGGCGGGGGTTGTAAACGGACGCTGTGGCAGTAGGGCTCCCGTGACACCTTATGCTCTCCACGCACCCAGGCAATGGAGCGCCCGCCAGGGACAGACAAAAGAGATAACCACGCTCCCAGCTCCTGGGGCCCCAGGGCGAGGGGAGATGGACACGGACACGCACACACACACACGCACACACACACACGCACTCTGCTGTGGTGGGGGCGGGGGGATGGGGTGGCCTGAGGATAAGGGTCAGCAAACCCCTCCCTGCATTTAGGGACCCCGCCCTACTCTCTGTAACCCGGAAAGCAGCCTTCGGGACTCTGCTGAGTGGGGCGAGGCTCCAAGAGGTCTTACCTGACTTGCTCCCAGGTCTTGGAGGCCAAGTGCAGCACCCAGAGGTCCTTGTAGTGGTAGAACTGCTCCCCATCAGGCGAGGCAAACTCCCCTCCAAAGATCCACAGCTGCCCCCCTCCCTGAGGGACCACTACGGCCTGGAAGAGAAGGGGACCATCAGGACACGGCGCTGGGCACAGGGGCAGCTAGCTGTGACACAGCGACATGGAGCTGGCGAGCCACAGGGGCCTGGGGACTCGGGGACACGGGCAGCACCGCCATGGGGGAGGCCAGGCGCCGGACACTAGACCAGGGCTCTGACAGTAAAGTGCCCACTGGGCAGAGTGACCACCTAGGGCATTCCATGGGGATCCCCCAAGGTCACACCCACACCAGAGCAAAAGCAGTCTCTGAGGAAAGTGTGCCGGACTTGGACTTTTCCTAGCTCAGGGAGAGGCCCTGCTGGTCACTGAGCTGCCCACCCAGGAATGAGAGCAGAGTCAAATGACAAGCCCACTCCTCCCCTCCCTCCCACTCCACGACCTCCTCCCCAGTGCAGCATCACAGCACACAGCCCGCGCAGCGCAGGGGGGTCGGCAGCAGAGAGAAAGCCTGTCCATAGAAACAGACTTGGAAGTGAAAGAGAGGAGCGGCTAAGCCGTTATCAGACACCTGTGCCCGGTTCAAGAAGGGCGCGGCGCAACAGAGAAGGGTGACTTGGGTCGAGGACTGAACAACTTCGGCAGCTGGGCAACAACACACGTGCACACGTGCACGGCACGGGGGACAACAGGGAGGACGCACGGTGAAGCCCAGAGTCCAGAGCCTGGGCCACCCGCAGACAGAGCCTCACCGACTCAGCACACCGGATCACAGACAACACCATAGCACCCACAGGCGCGCCTGACTCGGTGCTGACGAAGGACGAGAAGGACCGTCTGTGAGGGACGTCAGGGAGCACTCAGCCAGGGGAGGAAAGGTTCAGGGCTGCTCCCCGCGAACCTCTCATCGGGGTCAGACGCCAGAACACGGAGCCACTTCCAAGTGCTACAACCACCCACCTAGGAGTTACATCGTCAAAACAGCATCAAAAACACACACCCCAAAGGAAGGCATTTTCACCCGAATGAGAGCTGAGGAAGGTGCTGCCGGCAGCCCTGCCTGGGAAGGAGGGAGGGAGGCCACTGAGTGCAGGAGCCACGGCCCACACAGCACTGGTGACACAGCCTCCCCCAGCCCACTGTGGGGTTTCTCGCACCCAGCCTTCACGTTTACAACAGTCAAAATCTACCACCGACCACCAAGAACCTTAACAGCAATTGCCTGGCCGTGGCCAATGCAGGGGAGTGCGCAGAATGAGCCACAGTGTTTCCGGCTGCGTGGCCGTCGGTCAGTGGGCTGGCAGTCTTGTGACGAGGCAGGCACTATTCACCCTGTCTGGGGTGGTCACACTCCGCTTCCCTGTGCCGGTGATGCCTGCTGGATGAGCTGGCCTTTGGGCCCTAACCGTGTCGATGCGTCAGTAAGGGTGGCATGCCGTGGTGGGATGCCCTGCTTACACTGGATGAGAAACGCTGCTTCAAGCAACACAGCTTGAAGACGCTGCTGGCAGGGAGAGGCAGCACTGAAGCACATGGGGAATACGGAGGTGCTGGCAGATCACCATGCGGAGCTAAATAAGGGCAACCCGGCCTAAAGGTGGGGGCCGAGGGGAAAGGGGCTGCAGGCAGACGGGACAGACAGCAGGACGGCACATGTAAGACGTACCTCTGTCAGTGCCTACGTTAAATGGACAGACACCCTACCTGAAAATGAACAAAGCTTGTCAGACCATACTGAAATATCCAAGTGCAGTGGCGTTTCCAGAAGAGCACCCTAAACACAATCAAAGGGTGAGCGAAGGTGTACTAACAAACACTAACCATCCGAGGGCGGGGGCGGGTATGGTCCCTGGTGAAGCTGTGGTTAAAGCGCTCAGCTGAAACCCCAAGGCCAGCAGTTTGAACCCGCGGCCCCTCCTGGGGGAAAGTGAAGCGTTACGGCATGAAGACCCTATGAGACAGTTCTACTTCTCTCGGGCTGCTGTGAGCCGGGACCAACTGCTTTCAGGGGGACACTCATGGTTAAGGTCTGGCAGGACTACTCAATAACGGGGAGCCACGTGGAGCAGGACATGGACTCAGAACACCAAGCACCACCACCGTCGCAGGAGACGAAGTAAATTTCAACAAGGACGACCCTCAGTAACCTGGACACTGTCAACTCCTCGGTGTCCCGGAGGACACTCCCAGCAGCCAGAGAACGCTCGGTCCTTGCAGACACACGCAGAAGCAGCACCGAGGCAGAGCCGGTGCCAGTGCAGGACACCTCCACCTGCTTCACAGGACTGACGCCATACAACCCGGGAGCAAAGGGTAAATAACAGAGAGCTGGAAAATCCATCTCCAGTGTTCTTTAACTTAAATAACATACTTAATACTGTAGCCACAGGCCAGAGCAAACATCGAAAGCCAAATCGCATATTTTTACTTGAATGACAAAACACAATGTCTCAAAATCCAAGGGTGCAGCTAAAGCAGTGGCCAGAGGAAATCATGTAGCTTTAAGACAGAAGGAACAGATCTGAAACCAGTGTTGTAAACTTCCATTTTTAAAAGCTGTAAAGGCAAATTAGACCCAAGTAAATGAAAGGAAACCAGAAAGAACAGACAGCATCAAAAGGAAACAAAGGGGGGGGGGGTTGGTGGAAACACTTGAACTAAATAACTTCTGTAGGGGTCCAGCTGAGGTTTTTAAGCCACCAGAAGCCCTTTGGACCAATTTTCAAGAATAACTTTCAAAAGTGCTTAAAAGGAGAGATATTAGACAAACGACTTCTTTAAAAGCTCACGTCTACATCAGATTCATCAGCTAGCACAATCTCAGTCACCTAAGACAATTAGGAAGTCCTCATCAGAGACAAACAACGGGCTGGCTGGTCACGAGCTTACTGGTCCAGGAGCAAGGTCAGTCTGCAGTCTGGTGGCCATACTCCTGGGTGTCACCAGTCCCCACAATACTCAGAGGCCTGTGCAGCCTACCAGGCGCACAAAGGTGAGCATTGCTAGTTTGCATCTGTACTTCCTGCCAAATTATTATTTTTCAAGGAAATATATAATAAAGAAAATCTTGACTTGCTGCCCCCAAAGGCTTGAAAGGACGTGGACTTTCAGATAAATAAATTCCTGCTTTCTTCCCTCCCCCCGAGAAAAGGCACCGCTGTCACGTGTCTGGTCACCACCTTTGTCTCTAGAGCCTGCAGTGATGCTTTCACGGAGCCCTGTAGATGTGCACTGTGGGAAACTAAGTCGCGCAGATGCTGAAATGTACAGCAAAGAGGTCTGTTTTAGATTTCTAGCTATTTCAAACAGTTTACTCTAGTCTAACCAGGTACTCAGGGGAAAGGCACACAGCTCTATGTCACAAAGCTGTACAGCCAGGATGCTCCTTAGCGGCAAGGATGGCGAGACTTCGTCTCATGTGCTTTGGGACCTTGATGTCAAGAGACCAGTCCCTGGACAAGGACACCCCACCAGTCAAGCAGAGGGGCAGTGACAACGAGGAAGGCCCTCAGTGAGATGGATGGACGCAGTGGCAGTGACTGAGGGTGGAGCAGGACCGGGCAGTGCTTTCCTCTGTTTGCACAAGGGTCACCATGCGCCTAACGTTATAATGTTACTTCCAAGAGCCTGCTGTTGGTGAATGCCAACCTAGCGGAAAGGAGCCCCGGCGGCACGGGGGGTGCTGGGCTGCTGGCTGCAGGCCCCCACTGAGACCCGTCCATGGCGACAGGAGACAGACGAGGCCGTCAGCTCCCACAAAGCCTCAGTCTCAAACCCCAAAACCCACCCTGCCCTGTTGGGTCACTGCTAAGTGGACCCGACTCGAGGTCTCAGTTTGCGAAATGAACGGGGCAGAAACCCGTGGACTCAGGAGGGACTCCACCGCAGCTCACGAGTTCACGCCCACTTTCTCCCAGAATCAGCGCGGCTGTATCCAGGGCATGCTCCCCTCACAAGCACACCACACCCGAGGCCCGCCAAGGACCGCTGCCCGGCAGGGACCTCACAGCCCGCTGGGTTCCTAGATTGCGACCCACAAGTCTTTTCTCCACCAGAGCGGCTGGTGGGTTTGAACCGCTGACCTTCTGGTCAGAGGCTGAGTGTTTAATCCGCCCCGTGTTGCCCTGGATCCAGACTGCGGCTGCTCCCCTCACCATGTTGACCTGGATTATGGCACAGCATCGCACAGCCTGGAGACACAGTGACACCCCCCCACCCCCACCCCACCCCCCCGCTTGCAGAGGCAGAGCGGACGCACTAGGAGCTCCGTCGCCTGACCGAGTAACGAGTAACGGCAGCAGAGGCGGATGGCCAGGGAAGCAAGCAGCTTTGTGCCACACTCGTGCTTCCAGGCCTCCCTCGTGGTTGGCAGCGGAATTCCTTCAGACAGAACCCCAGCACCTTACCTGGTGAGCACAGCGCCGGGGAGGCGGGTTAGGAATCTCCACTCTCGTCCACGCGTCCTTCCTGATGCTGTAGGTGTACAGCTCGTTGTACAGAAAAGTCTGCAGAAGGAAGGATACCGCGTACTGGTGACACACGCAAGGCCATAAGCTGTCCCCCACCGTTAGGGCTGCCCCGGCACGCGTGCTTCCTAAAGCAACCCAAGTCACACCGGTCTAGGGGCAGAGGGGCAGATCCCCAAGGACCTTAGGGAACAACCAAAGAAAAAGGCCAAGTGCCCACCAGTGCCGTTAACATCAAAGGTGCTGAGACTGCCCTCAGTCACTCTTCCTCTCCTAACTCGGTGGTCTTTAAGGGAGGGGTCTTGCTGGCAGTGGCCAAGGCCTCGAGTGCTAGCCATAAGTCAGTGGTTAACCCACCGGTCACTGCAAGGGAGAGAGAAGTGGCAGCCCACTTCCGTAAAGAGGTGCGACTTCGGACACCTCTAGGGCTGTCCTTCAGGGTCACTGTGGGTCAGCACGGGCTTGGCGACAGCGTGTTTCCATGGCATTTTTAAGGGCAGGGGAAGGGGGACAAGGGAAGGCAAGCACACAGGGCTCCTGCAGGCTGGAGGGCGTCTGAGGACCTGCTTTTGCTGTTTCACGTACCGCTCCAACAGAGAAACACGGGTCTGCTGGATGCCTCAAAAAAGCACGCTTCTGCCTGACTGATGGTCCACACGATGAAGTTCACAAGCATGCTGAGTGCGTTATCAGTCATGGGAGAGTAACCCGGTAGGATCCCACTTCCCAGAGACAGAGTTGACAGACTCATTTACAGGGACCACAATTTATCAGCGATTTCCAGGCTTGGGGGGTGGGGGTGGGTGTGCAGGGCTCACTGCTTAATGGGCACAGAGCTTCCTTAAGGCTGTCCGGAAACGTGGCGAAGTCAAGTGGGTTCCTTGACGGACCGCGGGGTCACAGGATTTCCCACAAGGTCTTGCAGCCTCTCACTCAGTGGTAACAGTTACTCAACAGGAGCATGAACGCAGTAAATGTCACTAAAATCTAAAACTATTGACTGGGCAAAGGTTTGTTATAGAGACATTTACCACAGTGAACATACCGGTATGTTTTTTTAAAAAGGATTGTGCCAGCTGTTTCATGTCCAGTCACGTTTCTGTACACATAAGCAAACTTCAGTCTTTACAGAGCGGGCACAAAGAACGAGTGGCTCTCCGGCTCACGAGTACTTTCCGTATTCAGGTACACTCTGAAAACGGTGTGGATTTTAATCAAAGGAGACCCATGAAAATTGGGGAGAAAAATAAAAATATATATACTTTACTTTTTTGCCATTGAAATATTCACCTCCGAACAGGATCAACTCGTCTTTCTCAGGATGGGCGGAGAGGGATGCATTCAGCCTGTGAGAGAGGTCAGAGGCAGGTCGGCACAGGTGGGCTACGAGAGCAGCCCTTGCTGCTGGCCTCTCCGAGAGCAGAGAGCTGCCACCTCCGCTCTGCCTGCACGCTGTCCCTAGGCCCACGGCGAAGTCTGGGATTGTCCTGAATCAGCCTGGGGTCACTGGCTCACGGGCCCAAGGCAGCCCACAGGCCTTGGTGGCCACACTCATAGCCTAGCCTACTAGTCACCTGGCAATACGCAGCCGGGTTTTTCTGTAAAGAGCCGCTTTGAAGGGTCTACCCTGCTGCATCACAACCAAAGCTGTTCTACAAAGTCCAGGACTGGAGTACTTCCACACTTGCAGACACCTTCCCTCAGGAAAATGAGATGGCTGAGAAGGGGGAGAAAGGGGGAACAGATCGCAATGACTGATGTACACCATCCCCCCCCCAGGGGGACAAACATCAGAAACATGGGTGAAGGGAGACAGTGGACGGTGTAAAATATGAAAATAGAAATCATTTCTAAATTGTTGAGTGTTCCCGAGGGTGGGGGACTGGGGAGGGAGGGGATAAAAGAGAGGAGCTGATATTAAGGGCTCAAGTAGAAAGAAAATATTTTGGACATGGTGGCAACATATGTGCAGGTGTGCATGATACAACTGATATATGGGTTGTTATAAGAACTGCAAGAGCCCCCCGATCACGAGGTGTCGAAGGGATCAGGTACAAGGCATCATCAGAACAAAAAATCGTACCATAGTGAATGATGGGGGGAGTGCGGAGTGGAGACCCAAAGCCCATTTGTAGGCCACTGGAGAGCCCCTTGCAGAGGGGTCTCGGGGACAAGACGAGCCAGTCAGGGTGCGATGTAGCAGCGATGAAAAATACAACTTTCTTCTAGTTTCTAAATGCTTCCTCCCCGCCCCCACTATCATGATCTGAGTTCTACCCTGCAAGTCTGGCTAGACCAGAGGATGTACACTGGTACAGATAGGAACTGGAAGCACAGGGAATCCAGGGCGGATGATCCCTACATGACCAGTGGTGTGAGTGGCGATACTGGGAGGGTAGAGGGAGAGTGGGTTGGAAAGAGGGAACCGATTACATGGAACTATATGTGACCTCCTCCCTGGGGGACGGACAACAGAAAAGTGGGTGAAGGGAGACGTCGGACAGGGCAAGATATGACAAAATAATAATTTATAAATTATCAAGGGCTTATGAGGGAGGGGGGAGCAGGGAGGGAGGGGAAAAATGAGGACCTATGACTGGGGCTTAAGTGGAGAGGAAATGTTTTGAGAATGATGAGGGCAATGAATGTACAAATGTGCTTCACACAATTGATGTATGGATTGTGATAAAGAGTTGTATGAGCCCCTAATAAAATGATTTTTTAAATTACTTAAAAAAAAAAAGAACTGTAAGAGCCCCCAATAAAATGACTTACTAAAATTTAAAATAATAAATAAGTGGGATTCCCTAGGCACACCCCACCTTACAAGCATTCCAGAAAGAAAAAAGTTTGTGGGTCAAATACAGTTGGAAGAAAACTCTTACTTCTTCCTTGGGAATCTACTGAGCACAGAAACTTGACAGGCTGAAACTTTCCCCCCATCATTTTACTGAGGGCTCAGCACAATCCATACATCAATTGTACTGGGCATATATGTTGCCATCATTCTTTTCTCGACAATTACTTTCTATTAGGCCCTTGATATCAGCTCCAGGTTGAAACGTTTTGCCACAAAGAAACCAGCGTTCCCCAGTCTTCTCAGATCTTGAATCTTCTCTTACCTAGCGCCTGCTTTTCTGTGGAAAACACTCAACTAGTTTAGGAAACTACCACCTAGGTGCTGGCAAATGTCTTCAGCCAGGAGGCAGATCCGATGCACCCCGGCACTCCCAGACACCGTTCAGCCCTCACCACCTCCCCGGCCCCATTTCCCACCCCCACCCCAAGTCTCATCCAAGCCTCAGATCCTTTGGGCCTTAACGATTTAAAGGATTCCAACATTTGTTTGCTTCAACAATTCAAATCACAGTGTAAAACACCTATAGAGGCTGATCCCGCGGGAAAAATACAGTCAGTCACTTACTAACAGAATTCAGTGAGCAAAGTCCCAAACCCCAAAGCCAGCAAAGCTCCGAGGAAGAGAGGACAAGAACGCGTGCCTCAGACAGGGAATCGGATTATCGGCATGTTCGCTTCAGCACACCCCACAAAGGCCTGAAACCCTCCCAAAGACTGGCGTCTGTCCCAGAGCTCACAAACCCCCCTGCGACGATTTACACACAATTCACGCTCACCAAGAATCCTTTGAGGATTTAAAATGTGGCAACCAGCTGGCCTGGCTGTGAGTTGCACACCTGTCGCTGACACCCTGGAAGTACCCTGTGTAGTCAGTGGGGAACTCATGTTTGCTCCCCATTATTACTAGTTAGAAGAGCTTTTCAGGCTGGGGCACAATCCCCATAACTCTCCGCCCCACCCCCCAGGAGTCTGGTGAGTCACCCTCCAAGTGTCTGCATGACAATAAGCCATAGGGTCTGGCTCGGTTCTTCAGAAGACATGGAGAAAGGTTGCATGGGGCTGACCCACCAGAGACTTCACTGATGAGATGCCCCACAACCTGCTTGGGCACTCTCAACAACTCGGTGCCAGGCAAGTGGACAGAGACCACACGCCCTTACCTTGGAGAAGGTGGGGGACAGGGCACTTCTACAATCTCAGTCTTCTTCGCATCGAGGGTTTGGAAATGGGCGATGAGAGCTTCAAGGTCTTCCTAAAACCAAACAAGCACTTGGTATGAGATGCTTTCTTCTTTAACCACTGAAACCCATGGCAGATACACGTCCCTGTCAATGGGACCCGATGAAGCGCCAGTCAGACTGGACGAGAATTACAACATTTCCTCCAGTTTTAAATCTGACACGATTCCTAACTATATGGAACTAGATCCTAAAGTGAGTGTTTTAGGTTTAGACCCAGGTGCATTCTGTGTATCAATGCATCCGGACCCCTGCCCTCTCCCCAGCAACACTTGAAGGGCCTTCCACATAGACAAGCTCCTTCAAGCCCAACCAAATCACACCACTGCCATCAGGTGAATGCCGACGCCTAACAACCCCATCAGACAGAACAGAGCTGCTACACCGGGGTCTGAGGCTGTAAATCTTTACAGAAAGAGGCCGCTTCCCTGGGAGTGACTGGTGGCTCTGAACCACCTTGTTTAACCCATAGTGCTTCTAGAGATCCTTATGAATGGCTGGACCGATTACATTGCTTTAGACATTTAAAACTCGTGTTAATTCTGTATATTCTCTTGTCACTTGTTTTTTGTTTTTGTTTTTCGGCCCATTATTGACTAGCTTGGTACATGACATCACAAAGTCTGCTCATTTTCACGGTGACATGAGCTTGTCCATCCTGTTTGTATTCCTCAGGCGCACTACCTGGGCCATCCCCAAGCATCTCCTGCACAGGTGTTTCTGCAAGCTCCGCCACCACTCATTCAGGGTATCGGCATGGATACGTTAATGCCCAAAGTGGTCCTGTCCCTTTACACACTTTCCCAGCAGTTCACACAGGTCCACCTCCCAGAGCGTCTCTGTGTGGGTGCTAACTTCAAGAGAGGCGGGTAGAAAGGTGAGTACCAGAGTTGCCTGGTTGCTGACCATGTCTGTCCCCTCAGCAATGGTTCCGTCCGTCGTGGCAGAAGACAAGGTGAGAAAGAAACAGACTGGAGCAGAGGCCCAGGTCTGCAGTGGAAGCTGCTTGTCAGTGCTGGGGACAGTTGAGGTGGACATCCACCAACCCAGCCCAGACGGGTTTGCAGCAATGGGATTGACGGCCAGCCCTGCTCACACAGGGAACGATGGCAACGGGCCATCAAGGGCGGCCGGGGCCAGCGGTCCTCTTCGCCTGGTCCCGCGGGAGGCTGTCCGGACGTCTATCATCGTTTACAGTCAGACACGCGAAGCCATGGTCCATCCTCCCGGCTCGCGCCCCGCGCAAGAGGCGGACCCACGTCCCCGGGCACGAGGCCAGCCTCGGCCGCCC